GCCCACTGGGCCCAATTCTCAGAATGCCAATCACTTAGACCTCTCTAGAGGTGAAAACAGGCCCAAGGTGGGCACCCAGTTAGCAGCCACTCCTTGAGGAGTATTTGACCTCAGACTAAGCCTTGTGCTCTGAGTGCTGTCTTCCGGTCAGTCACAACCTTCTTCCTCTACACCCACCATAACTTTTTGCTTAACTCCTCCAGCTCCTGACCTCCAAATAGCTGCATGACCTTGACATTTGCCCCACTTCCTCCTACCAGCTCATGCTGACAGGCTCTGGGTGTCTAACTAGGATGAAAATGTTAGCACCACATGTATTACCATTCTCATTCTACACTTGTCACAGCTGGTGATCGGCAACTTTGGATTGAGCTGGGACCAGCAGCTGACTCAGATGGCGCTGTGGGCTATCATGGCAGCTCCACTGCTCATGTCCAATGACCTACGTCATATCAGCCCCCAGGCCAAGTGGCTGCTTCAGAACAAAGATGTGATTGCCATCAACCAGGACCCGCTGGGCAAGCAAGGATACCGTATCAGCAAGGTATGATAGTGGCTGAAGCGACTGAAACAGGGAAGAGATTTCCTCTCCTCCCGGGGGTGTGAGATGTAGGTGAAACTAGGTTGCTGGGGGTGGTGTACCTCCCTTGCCTTCCTCAGAGTAGACTCGGGAGAGTAGAGTTTTGAAACATCCACCCACAGAGAACTGAGTCTCACATTCCTTCCTGCTGCCTGCTTAAGGAGAAGATGACTAGGACCTGTAGAGTTAGTCCCACCCCTCAAACGTTTGTTTGGTTTCCATTTTTGGCAGGATAACAACTTTGAGCTCTGGGAGCGGCCTCTGTCAGGGGGTGCCTATGCTGTGGCCGTGCTGAATCGACAGGAGATTGGAGGACCCCAGATCTTCAGCTTCTCTACCTCTTTCCTTGGCAATGGCCTGGCCTGCAACCCTGCATGCTCCATCCAGCAGATCCTCCCCACCAGCAAGGACTGGGGACTACACAACTGGGTCTCGCTCTTGAACGTTGAGGTGAACCCAACGGGTACTGTGCTGCTGAAGGTGGTGGTGATCGGGGAGTTCCCAGATGAGAAGCCTGTCATGAACATTAACAAAAAACCATCTCCAGATATCTTATAATGTAATGGTGACCCAATTCCCCAGGCACCAGAGCTCCTTTGCTCCAATCCTGCCCCTCCACATCTGTGGGCAATAAGTGCTGAAGATCCCATCAGCGATGGGTGAACTTTACCAAATCAACCCTAATCCAGCAAGAAGTACTGTAATCTCTCTCCATCCTTGTGTTGCAATTACGGGGGAGAGGGTGCCTTTACTTATCCCTGCTAGATCTATCGAAGTCCTGCTCAATGTAGCATGTAACCTAACCTTCCTTTCTCTGGGGGCTAAAGGATTGAGTTGGTCAATTAGACTGGATCAGCCTTCTGTAAAGACCTAATGGCCTTGGTAACAGGTGAGAAAATGCAAAGCACGTACCATGTTAGTGAGGTTCTTTGGTGATGCCAGGACTCAGGGGAAGAGTGCTCCCCTCCTGCCTTAACAGCTTCCTCTCAGGCCAGTGTGACTGATGTACACCAGCTGCAAGAAAACACACACTCCACCCTCAAACCCCCACCTGAAGTCATATGGTCACCCCCTACCCTTTTGCCCAAGGTTGCTCTCACCTTGCTGTGATGACTCTGTATCTTAAGCTAGTACTTTTTAGGCTATCACTTTCTTGCTGTTGCTGGCTGTCTCCCTTTAATATGAGTAAAGGACACTACATCCATGTAGTCATGTCTCCCACTCCTGTGGTTTTCACTTAGTTCTTTTTTAAAATCCATGTTTCTTCAAGGGAGGGTAGTCACCCATCTTACTGATTGTCCTGGTGCCAGCAGCTGTATGTTCCACTGCTGGCTCTGGACTTTGCACCAAAAACTGTATTTCTTTAGTCCACAGGGATTAATCATTAACTATCCATAGGTCGAGGATGGTGTGTTAAAGGGGTTTCTCCCCTCCCCACTGATGTTGACTGATGCCAGTAAAAGGAAATGGATGAGGGCAGATTTGGGCTTGCTGTGTCCTTTCCCTCACTATCTCCTTCCTTTGGTATAATCTACCTTAATAGACATGAGGGGGTTGAGGCTTTTTGTAGTGGTGTGTGGAACTGAGCCTACATTCAGCTGGAGTCTGATCTGAGATTTCTATTGCGGCAGGTTTTCTAGTTTGAAACTAATCACATCCACACATACCAAGACACTTGTACATAAAGAACATCGTACACAAGTCTTGCTAAAAAAATTAAAGTTTACCTATTCCTAAACATCTTTGATAATTGTAGTAAAGCACTTCAACAGATGGTGCTGATGACTTCTGCCTTCTCTTAGATACACCATCAAAGGCTGTCTTCTCATCTAGCATTACATACTACCAATTATTTTAACAGGCCTAAAAGGTGCTAAATTTGCATGCAGAATTGCTACAGGAACCTGTATCCTATCAAAGACTTGCTTAAGATGCCACTCTAAACCTCCACTGCAAAGAACAGCTTAGCTATAAAAGCTGTACTTTTGAATTCCAGTCAAAAAATCATCCCACTAGTCAATAGCTGAGAGACACTATTCTGTTACAAAACATGGAAGGAGTTTCCCCTCCTGCTAATGCTGTAAAAGTTATGCTAGAAGAGGCATATACACTAAAACTTAATAGAGCTACCTTCCTGTTGCTGCATATGAAGAATCTCAGTTGTGTGTGGGTAGAGATACGTTATTTTTTTTTTCTGCCAAAGTTTAGTCTTCATATCAAGTGGAATTTTACAGAGATGCTGCTAGATGCTCCTTGGCATCCTCTATACAGCTTAGATTTAAGAAACCTAGAGGGCTCCTCTCCTTTGAAGTTGTCATAACTATAAAGGGAAGGGCAACAGCCCTCCTGTCTTCAATACTATAAAATCCCTCCTGGCCAGAGGTTCCAAAATCCTTTTACCTGTAAAGGGTTAAGAAGCTCAGGTAACCTGGCTGACACCTGACCCAAAGGACCAATAAGGGGACAAGATGCTTTCAAATCTTGGTGGGAGAAGGCTTTTGTTTGTGCTCTTTGTTTTGAGGGTTGTTCACTCTTGGGAGTAAGAGGGACCAGACATCAATCCATGCTCTCCAAAACTTCTGAACAAGTCTCTCATATTTCAAACTTGTAAGTAACAGCCAGGCAAGGCATGTTAGGTTTATCTTTGTTTTCTCAACTTGTAAATGTACCTTTCGCTAGAGTGTTTGTCTCTGCTGTAACTTTGAACTTAAGGCTAGAGGGGGTTCCTCTGGGCTCTTTGAATCTGATTACCCTGTATTTTCCATCCTGATTTTACAGAGATGATTTTTACCTTTCTTTTTAAGAACCTGACTGATTTTTCCTTGTTTTAAGATCCAAGGGGATTGGATCTGGACTCACCAGGATTGGTGGGGGGAAAGAAGGGGGAATGGTTAATTTCTCCTTGTTTTAAAGATCCAAGGGTTTGGATCGGTGTTCACCAGGCAACTGGTGGATAAGTCTCTCAAGGCTACCCAGGGAAGGGAGTTCGCACTCGGGAGTGGTGGCAGCAAAACCAGATCTAAGCTGGTAGTTAAGCTTAGAGCTTTTCATGCAGGTCCCCACATCTATACCCTAAAGTTCAGAGTGGGGAAGGAACCTTGACAGAAGTAGAGGTCAGTGTCTAAGAACAGCACCTGCAATTCATATTCTGATGGATCTCATTGACCTTTTTTAGTGCTAGCTGGTAGTCTGTAACCCTCACACATGGATTTTGTGCTTTATTAAGGTAAGGAATCTTGGGTTGGTGTTAAGTGCTGGTGTGAAACAGAAAGCTAGCCAGGTTTCTCTAAAGCCTATGCCTAAGGATGGGATAAGGCTAAACACTTGCTTCTAGCTGAATAGGCTAATGAGACATTCCCTTTCCAACATGGAGGGTGAAGCAGACCACAGGCTAAATACATGAAGCTTAGCCCACACAACTCTGCTTGTCTGAGCTAACAGCAGCACGTTCACATCTACCAACAGCAATGAATGATCACTGCCTAAAAATGGTACTGGAAAGAGGTGAATCTGTCATAGTGAAATCTCTACAGTTTGTATTAGGGCAACTAGACCCTGCCACAAGGGCCTTTGTACATTTACTCCCTATAGTTTTCAGTTTACTACTAGTGCTTGTAGAGAAGAGGGATCTAAACTGAGGCCAGCTCTATATATCTAGTATAAGGAATGAGGCCAACTGCTATTCAGCAGGATCAGCAAAACCAAGCCAGCCCTCCCCCATGCATTAGGACCATCACTTAGGGGTAAGCTGATCTTACACTGTATTAAGTGCTTTTAGAGAAAAGGGAGGGGTGGGTAAGGCTAAGGGCTGGTCCATGCAAACTATATCACTACAATAAAGGTGGAATTTTATACAATTTAGTTAAACTGCTGCAGCTTTGTATACAGACATCAATTTAACTCTGTCTTAAAGTGGTTTAGCTTGTGGCCATATATTTTCAGAAACAAGCAGCACTACTGAAGCAGGTTTATAACAGGTAAGTGGTCACATACCAGAGTTTGCACTAATTTAACTAAATCAATTAAGGATAACCAGTGCAACTTCTGTTTAGACAGTCCCATGGAGTCCTATACATAGACACAGCCCTACCTTCTACTCCCTTTTGTGGAAGTAAGGGACTTGGGACAGTAGCAACATGTGGCTTCCACACCACATTGGTACATCAGACTAGTAGGCCCTGAGCAACCTCCCAGGAGCTGACACCTTTGAGTCTGGATTAAAAAAAAGTTTCTCTAGCTGCAGACAGAATTTATTCTAAAACCTCGTTTTAGGCAGCATCAGCCCATACAAAAGCAATGTTCAACCACTGGTGAGATTTCCCAGTCCCAGAGAGCTTTATTCACAGTGGTAGCTCCCATTTGGGTTTGATATACCCAGAAGTCCCTCCCTAGCAATAAGGAAATATACAAGAGCAGCAGATTCTTTCCACATATTTTAATGGATTCCATAACAATGAACAAGATGGAGTTTAGAACTGGATCACCTGGCCCTGTAAGAGAGAAAAGACTGATTGAGTGTATGCAATACAGAACCCTACCACAAACATTTCAACTCGCCTCAGGGACCCCTATGGAGCATTATTCAAACAGCACCCTCTCACAGCCATTCTGAAAATCCAGTGACTAACATTACTCTCCAGAGTTGGCCAAAAGCCAACTCTGCAACCTCATTAGTTTCTCCATTAACTAGTTACAGCCAACGAGCAGCAGGATCTTTACATTAATATAGAGGTGGCTAAGATCTGCTGGCCAGCTCTGGAAGTGTAGTTTTCTCACCATGCTCAGCACTGAAGTGGCCACAGTCCACAGTTTAACTTTCACCCACAATCCCTCTCAGCACATACCTTTCTTTTCTTATCTCCTCCCAGCTCAAAGTGCTTGCACCTCTTAATGGCCAGCATTCTCTTGGACCTGCAGTTGGGCTCCACACACTCAAGCCTCAGCACAATCTTCTTCGTGGTTTTGGCCTGGAGAGAGAAAAAGTCAGTGAACAGAATATTCCCAGTATCAGGCAAAGCCAGCCATCATTTAGCCCTAGAGAGGAACAGCTCGTCCTGACGTACACTGCAGGCTAGGCGCTCCAAGGCCTTGCGGGAACAAAAACCCAGCAGCCTTGGGAGTTTGGAGACAAGAAATCTGGGAACAAACTCAACTTCCTATTCGGAATGAAGAGCACAGAGCTGACAAAACCATGGGGCCAGTTTCCCAGCACAGATCTGTTACCACATTTCAGTCCTGGCCTGCAATATTCTGTCCATCCACAGGTTCTAGTCTGGGTCCTAGAGATTAATGGTAATCCTAACCAGCAGCACTCCTTTTACCACTGGCTACTCAAATAGTTTCCAATACTACCAAGCAAACCAGATTATATTATGGTTCTGACAGACATGAAACTACACTGAACACACCCATCCTTCTGCTTGTTACCCAAGGACGGCAGTCACCAACTGTGCCACACAGCCAGCATGCTAAAGCTACTTTGCAATGTCTCTCCCTATGCTCCTAATAGACCCAAGCAACACTGAAAAGCCACCAGTCTTAAAAGATGACCTGCAAATGAAAAAGTCTGAGTTGTGCCTGTGTTCGTTATAAGAACCTGGAAAAAAGGTTACAGGACTAATTCTGCTTTTTTTAAAATTACATTAGAAATTCCAATCTTTTTCCTGGAAGCCAAGAGAGAACCAGAAAACTAAGATAATATGCTGAGTTCACTAGTCCCCATTATCAGAGACATCTAATGAATCTTCCAGCAAAAACAGAAAACCAGACATGACACTCCAGATATTTCTATGGTTAAAATAAAAGTAAATCTCCCCACGCATTTTTTAAAGAAGGGCAGTTCTCCAGGCATCCTTTATACTTATGAAGCAGTGAAAGTGGGTACAAACCCATTTTCCCCCTCAGATCACCTTTAATGTAGTGTCTTAGGCCTGGGCTACACAGTTGTTGCACTGTATAACTATTTTTTTTTAAAAGCAAAAATCATCTTCCTAACCAAAACAGTTATAATAGTAAATCTCTTAGCGTTGACACTGTTTATAGACATTGGATTTTTAAAATTCTTCCAGTCGTAACGATTTAAGGTATCAGCAATATGAGCAAGTGAAAGGGGTAATTTCATTTCTATCCCCATTATGTCCCTTTAAAAAAAGTCAGTGGGACGGCCATTCCCTTCTGTCATTCAAGGGACATTGGCCAGCCCCGGCCAGGAGCAGAGCCCTGGGCTGGCTGCCGGTACCCAAGGGCGGCTGCAGAGCACTGGGCCCCGGCCAGGAGCAGAGCCCTGGGCTGGCTGCTGGTACCCCAGGCCAGCAGCGGGATGAGCAGGCCCGGACCCCAGCTGGCAGGGGGCCGGGCGGCTGGAATCCCAGGCTGGCAGCAGGCTGAGCGGGGCCAATGGCCGGGACCCTGGCTGGCAAGGGGCCGGCAGCCAGAACCCCAGACCATCAATAGGCTGAGTGGGGTGGCAGACAGAACCCCAGACCGGCAGCGGTTCACCCGCTGCCGGTCTGGGGTTCTGCTGGCTCCTCCTAGCTGGAGTCCCGGTCATTGGCCCCGCTCAGCCTGCTGCCAACCATGGGTTCTGTTCATCCAGGCCAGCAGCTGGCTGAGCGGGTCGGCGGACAGAGCCCCAGACCTGCGGCGGGCTGAGTGGTTCCATCCGCCACGCCCCCCCCCAGCTGGCAGCGGGTGAACCGCCGCCGGTCTGGGGTTCCGTTGCCAGCTGGGGTCCCCACTGCCAGCCTAGGGTTCCATTCACCCAGGCAGGCAGCGGACTGAGTGGGGCCGGCAGCCAGAACCTTGGCTGGCAGCAGCGTGCCAGTAAAAAGAAAAAAAAAATTTGGCTCGCGTGCCGCCTTTGGCATGCATGCCACAGGTTGCCAACCCCTGCACTAGACAAAGGCATGCTACTTCAATCTATCATGAGGAAAAATTTCCCATTTGGCCAAGGAGCAGCAGAGGAAAGTAATGAATTCAGGCACAAAAGGGCAAAACCTGTCATCAATACAAGTTGCTGAGCATCAAGAACAGCAAGATTACACTCACTGCACCCAGTCTAGACCCATGCCAACATGCACTGACATCCCTACCCAAGGCTACCTACACATGCTATGAGTCTCTACTCAACAAACCATGCCAGGCTATAGGAGTCTCTGAATTACCTCTGTTCACCAGAACACATGAAATTGACCAGAAGGTTTCAACACCCTCTTTCCTTTAGCATGCTCACCTTCTTACGGAAGATAGGCTTTGGCTGACCACCATAACCACTCTGCTTCCGATCATATCTCCTTTTTCCTACAGGGAAGAAACAAAACTATTCAGGCCAACAGTTGAAACTCATAAAAAGAAGAACAGGAGGACTTGTGGCACCTTAGAGACTAACAAATTTATTAGA